CATCAGACGGAATCACATCCACCATGGCAGAGACGTTGGCGTGTTCACATTCGATCACGGCATGGTAGAGTTCAACTTACTGGTGTTTTCTTTGTATAACGCTGTCATGTGTCTCTGTGGGCTTAAGTACTCTCATTAAAGTATGCTTATAGAATGTATAGCCTAAGTGTAAAGGGTTGGTTTATATATTACTTTTATTTGTTCTGTTACTTGCTCCTGAAATGTATTTTGATAACACAGACTAATGTTGTATTTCTCTCTCCGTTTCCAGGGTTACTTTGAGAGCTGTAACATCCATAGGAACCGTATAGCCGGCTTCGAGGTGAAGGCGTATGCCAATCCAACAGTGGTGCGGTGTGAGATCCATCATGGGCAGACGGGGGGCATCTACGTGCACGAAAAGGGCCGCGGGCAGTTCATCGAAAACAAGATCTATGCAAATAACTTTGCTGGGGTGTGGATCACCTCGAACAGCGACCCCACAATAAGGTCAGTGTGGCCGTCAGAGGTCAAATATCTACATTCAAAGTAGGGGTGCACCGAATGGGTAATTCTTGGCCGAAACCGATACCGAAAATAGGAAACAGTTGGCCGAAAACCGAATGCCGAAAATGATTAATAGAAATATATATACATATATAGATATATATATATATATATATATATATATATATCATATATATGTATACATTTTTTTTTCTCAATGTTGTTCGGCTACCTGATAATGGGAAAAAGACATGATTATGGCAAAACTTAACTTAACTTAACTTAACTTAACTTAGACTTAACTTAACTTAAATAATAATCACTATTATGGGTCCATAAAACATTTATTCAGCACTTTTGAATGCATACTGTACCATTAATTCCAAGTCAATTGCATTTTCTCTGTAGGATATAACTACAACAAAGTGCATTCAGAACAAAGCCAAGGTGCTTTAAAACTGCATAAACATCTAGGCCAGTAGGCCTACAACAAAATAGTGTAAATAAAGACTGTAACAGCCAGGCCTTCAACAACAACAAATGCACCTATAAGTTTGGTAACCTAACGTGTTGTTGTGATGACGTAATCAAAACGCGGCGACAAGCACGGCGCGCGACCATGCTCGCGGCTGGCTCACAGCCAACATGTCTGCCGCTTGGAGATATTTCAAAATATCAGAGAAAGAGGCGCGGATTGCGATTTGTAAAACGTGTTCAGCTGACATTTCTCGAGGGGGTGTAACTGCAAAGACTTTCACCACTTCGGGATTACTCCACCACTTGAAATCAAATCACCCGGACAAATATGTGGAGTATGATCAACGTAACCCTGTTCTCTGACATTCGGTGATATTTTTTCCGAAAGCCGAAAGGGCCTTTTTAACCATTTTCGGCCGATAATTTTCGGTGGCCGAATATTCGGTGCATCTCTAATTCAAAGTGTCACCTGAATCAATAAAATTGTCCATCTACAGTTGCATCGTGTCCTCAAATTCACTTTTATTGTTCAAATACAGGGGCAACGCCATTTTTAATGGTAACCAAGGTGGTGTTTATATTTTCGGTGATGGTCGGGGTCTTATCGAAGGAAACGACATCTACGGTAACGCCCTGGCAGGAATCCAGATCAGGACGAACAGCTGCCCTATCGTCCGACACAACAAGATCCACGATGGCCAGCATGGAGGCATATATGTGGTAAATATAAGACTCATGAAGTTACACCAGTTAGATAAATACTGTATATTCTTTAAACTTTTGACTTCTTTAGAGTTCCTACCTTTATTTATTTTTGTTTCCCTCAGCATGAAAAAGGACAAGGCGTCATCGAGGAGAACGAGGTGTACAGCAACACGCTGGCAGGAGTGTGGGTGACAACGGGAAGTACGCCAGTGCTGCGGAGGAACCGGATACACAGCGGGAAGCAGGTACCATTACAGGCTACAAGTTTAATGAAGACAAATAAAGTGACCGACTCTCTATACACCTTCATGAGACTTACTGTTGCAATGGCAAACTGAATTGTCAGACTGGCTTGCTTTGAATCTTTTGTGATCATTACATTCATTTTTATGCCAGATATAATGGGATTATTTATATTTTCTCCGTCTTTTCCACAGGTTGGGGTCTATTTCTACGACAATGGCCATGGCGTGCTGGAAGACAATGATATCTACAATCACATGTACTCCGGGGTTCAAATAAGGTTTGTGGAAAATTACAATACTATTTTCAACTCAATGCATTTAGCATTAGTGAAGCAGTTGATCAACTGTCCCTGTTTTTTTTTTGTTGTCAGGACTGGCAGCAATCCCAAGATCAGGCGGAACAAGATCTGGGGGGGGCAGAATGGAGGCATTCTGGTTTACAACTCTGGTAAGAAGCAGAACAGTCTGTCTGATAGATTGTCTTTAAATTGAATCAATGTACTTATCGACTCCTGACAGTCTGTTGTTCCCCGTTCCCATAATAATGACACATTGTGTTTTCCAGGCTTGGGCTTTATCGAGGACAATGAGATCTTTGACAATGCTATGGCCGGAGTGTGGATCAAGACCGACAGCAACCCCACTCTGCGGAGGAATAAGATCCACGATGGGAGAGACGGGGGCATCTGTATATTCAACGGAGGAAGAGGTAAGATATCCATTTATTGTATGAAACGACAGGGATGCTGATTACAATGGGGGTCGTAAAGTTGTTTATTTTTGTTACATTTCTTGTTTCTCACTAAAACTAATTGTGTGACAAACAAACAGAGACTCGCTTTAGAAAGACGGCTCTCTAAGAGGTCGACACTTTGTACAGAAAGCTCGGATCGTATGATAAATTGACACAATCTTTTACAAATAACTTTTTTTTTTGCATATTCTTCCATCTAGTATCGCTAATACATTTATCAAATGTCATCTTCATGTTGTGTGTCTGACGATGTGTTTTCTGTCTTCAGGTTTGTTAGAGGAAAATGACATCTTCAGAAATGCCCAAGCAGGAGTCCTGATCAGCACCAACAGCCACCCCGTACTGCGGAAAAACCGGATATTTGACGGCTTCGCAGCAGGTGGGGTAACACATGCACACAGGCTTCAATCTGTCTTAATAAAACAACCGTAAACCAACAGTTTGGAATAAGTACAGTATGCCTCGCTAATGGTTACAAGGAGCTCAGTAATATTAACTTAATTTTCTTTTCACTACTAGGTATTGAGATTACCAATCACGCCACAGCGACCCTGGAGGGGAACCAGATCTTCAACAATCGCTTTGGGGGATTGTTTCTTGCGTCTGGTGTCAATGTTACAATGAAAGGTACTCTCATGATCACCTCGAGCAGCAGTTTGTCTGAAAGTTAATGTACCAAAATGTACCTGGAGTTTACCACGTTCTCTTTGTGCTCTTATCTCCACAGATAATAAAATAATGAACAATCAAGATGCCATTGAAAAGGCTGTGAGCAGAGGTCAGTGCCTGTACAAGATTTCAAGTTACACCAGCTACCCAATGCACGATTTTTACAGGTAATTTCTGTTTACACTCGCAACCGAGCCGACCCGCGGTAAACTGCCCGTCTGTTTTACGATTGTTAACAAACACTTTGTGTTCCTACAGGTGTCACACCTGTAACACAACAGACCGCAACGCCATCTGTGTGAACTGCATCAAGAAGTGTCACCAAGGACACGACGTGGAGTTCATCAGACACGATAGGTCAGTCTTATCCACCCATAAACAAATAATGTGGTTCAAAAATAAAGTGACCACATTAACCCTTGTTTTTCTTTACATTTGTGTAACTACATACACAAGTGTATTAAAAGAAGGAACATTATTAGCAGTATTTAATGTTTTTTCTCTGTACCTTAATGGAGCTTTACTAACCATTATTCCTCCTCCCACAGATTTTTCTGCGACTGTGGTGCCGGGACGTTGTCAAATCCTTGCACACTAGCCGGAGAGCCGACTCATGACACGGACACACTGTATGACTCCGCCCCTCCTATAGAGTCCAACACGCTGCAGCACAACTGAGCTCGAGCCCCTGTTACACTTCAGCAGTAATGGACACAAGACACTTTAAAGTTGTGCAGTGGGGGAGGATGTCCAAACTAAAATACAGAGCATATACGGTGACTTAAAAAAAAGACTTTGAAATGAATATGCTAAAAGGAGACATTAAGAAGAAGAAAAAAAGTCTGATTATGGATGCCACACTTTTTCTTTAAATATGACACAAAAAAAAGATGAGGAAGAAGAGCAGCTGACTCAGGGTTTGTGGGTGTGTTGGTTTGGCCAAGGGAAGCTGGTGAGAGATGGACAAAAAGCCTCACCTGCTTTCAAGAAGTGGAGGAAGGAAATACTGCAGTCATGTACAGATGCTCAGTCAGAAATGACACAACTTTTCTCATGCGGAGGCAAAGAGCCCTGAATTCAAAAATGCTTCCATCACTGGGCATTCGACGTGCTCGTATCGATATGTACGAGAAAAATGACCTAGCACTTCAGCTTTTTTTTTTTCTTTTTCACAAAACTGTTGAGATTTGATTTTAATGCTTTTTGTGTAGTTTTGTATTTTCATGCAAAAATCTTACTGTACTTGAATGTCTTTATTTTATTAAATGTGTTCATTTTTTTGGTTATTATACCCTAGAATTGCTGTAATTATACATGTCGCAGTATCTACCTTCTTTCTGTGAAAGAGATCAGAGGAAAGAGGAAAACACTAAGCATTTCTCCAGCGATGTTGACTCATTTGCAATACCGAACAATAGATGTTGAAATGTGCTTTCACCAGACTTGGGTTCTTTTTGTTTGTGGTAGCATTGGACATTTTTGTAAAGGGAGTTAATATACTTCAGTCTGTTTTACATAATCTATGCATATTTTATGTGTGTCCGGTTTGTGTTTTCCTGTCGCACAATACCCCTTTTACAGAATTGACAGGAAGGAAATATGGGGCCAAATAAAAGACTTCACTAAAGGCTGCAGTTGTTGAACAGTTGAGGGAGTGCCGTTTGTTTAGCCAGGACTTATGAAATCATTCAAATACTTTCTCTTTCCCAAATCAAACAATGCAGGATGGGATCAGGGCATTATATTGCATCTGTGGTACATTGCTTAACTCTTATTGATTTCACTACATAGATACTTTTTAGCCTGGAACAGGCACACATTGATTATTGGCCTGTTTAAAACAAAATGCCTTTTTTAAATGACGCTCTGATAAGGTCATGGAAGAAAAAAAATGCAAGTCTTGTGAAAGCAAAGTTTACTTCGGTGTGTTTCTTCCTTGTTTGCCAATGTTGCTGGAGAATGTTATAAGCTTTTACTCCACTGAAGCTGAGACAAGTATCTATATGCAGCGCTTTATGGTTCCCCCCCCCCACCCCCCTTTCATGTGTACTGGTGATTGTGGGTTCTCATACAGACTGAAATGTATGCATGTATCATAACATCTAGACTTAATATATTGTGAAGTATTCAATAACCGTTATGTAGGCGCTAGCGTGAATTAAAAGGGTTTAATTTCCTAGATGAAACATTGTCATTTTTAAAAAATAAACTTTATTAAATCATAACAGTAGTGTTTTTTCAGGTGACAAACAGAACAAAACTTTTCTCCTTTTTTTTTACACTACAGGTTGTTGAGCATCTGAACAAGTGAAGTAAAGTGTGTGTTGCCCACAGAAACATCTTCAGCAAACTGGCAGAGCTTCCTGCAAGACAAGACAGAGGGCAGAGTTAAAACTCATCTTTTGCATTTCTTATACCAATTCAGAGTCTTGCTTTGCAGCAGCTACAGAATGTCTTAACCTCAACACTAGTACATACTTGAAGAGGCGGAGGCTGATGGTGCTCTTCTCAAACTCCTGGGCCTTCCTGTGTCCTGATTGGATGACCTCCTCTGGCAGGCTGGCCAGACGAGCTGCGTTGAAGCCGTAACTCTTGGGACAAGCACCGGTGATGAACTTGTAGAGGAATGTGATGGTCTCTTGACTCGGGTCCTCACATTCATTCTCCACCATGCACGCCTTAGAAGGGACGGGACATCATTGTTGAAAATAGAACAGAATAAAAATATGGCTTGATTTTATTTGTCTTGTTCAACAACAGTGTATGGTCCATCAGACCACATTCACATGAGATTTCTTTTCTAATGATTTCTCAGTTTGAACACAAGTTATTACTGAGGGAACTCGTTTTGTATGAAAGAATGCACACAATACCTCAAAGGCTCTACAAAGCTAAGATGAACATAATGAAAAGTGACTGTATAGAACTCAATAGCAATATGGGACCTAACATAAGTAAGCAGGTTACTTGCACAGTAATGTATTTGGCCCCATATTTAAGATAAAATAAACAGGATGCAATAGTCAAAAAACTATTCTGAAGATATTTGCCTAAATAACATTAAATGATTTTGCTTTTTAGCCTTAAAACGTTCTAAAACGCGCTGCTTCTGCTTTCTTGTTCACTGCAGTTTTGAGTGTGTTTTGCATTTCTGTACTAACCATGTGGCCCAGGCGCACAGCAGGGTTGTTGGCGTAGTCCTCCACCAGGGAGTGGTAATGTGTGGAGAAGAGCGTGCGACAGCAGATCTTCTCAGCAAGCTCCTTCACAACAGCACTGGCAATGGCTGTGCCATCATATGTGGCTGTGCCCCTTCCTGCAAACACAGATGAATGATTACAACCATAAAGCAGTGAAAGAACAAAGCAGTGCTGAGGAGATGAGTCTGATTTTCACTGTTACTATAAAAAACCATATAAGCAATTTAGACTTGCCTAATTCATCAAGGAGCACAAGAGAGTGTTTGGTGGCATGGTGCAGGATGCTGGCTGTCTCACTGAGCTCCACAAAGAAGGTACTCTCTCCTAAAGAACACATTAAAAAATACATTATTACATCATTAGGAGAACGATAAGATATTTCCCCATTTGCATTTCAGACGTTTTTGACATTACCAGCCATGATACGATCTGAGGCTCCCAGCCGAGTGAAGACTCTGTCGACAGGCGTGTAGCGCAGGCTCTCAGCGGGGACGTAGCAACCCAGCTGAGCGAGGATGATCACAAGTCCACACTGCGGGGGAAAAAAGCAACCCGGTATCTCAATAAAAAGGCAAATAGAGACTTCAAACAGATTCAAACAGATCTGCACTGTCCATGTGTAACAACTCCTATTTAAACACAAAATAAATATTCAGTTAAGATAGATAAATAAATAAACCCACCTGTCTCATGAGGGTAGACTTCCCCCCCATGTTTGGCCCGGTGACGAGGACACAGGAGGCCTGCCCGTTCTCCTCACCAGCCTCACTGCTGCCAGGGCAGCCGATGAAGACGTCATTAGGGATGAAGTCGTCGCCAAAGAAGGTCTTGGTGACACAGGGGTGGCGGGATCCGGTGAGGTCGAGGAAGGGTGCCACCTGGTCATCACCCTCGGGGAGCACCACCTGTGGGCGGGTCATGGAGCCGTCTCCGCCCTGACTGTAGCGGGAGAAGGCCAGCAGCACATCTGAAAACATGATAAGTCATACAAGTAAGGAACTGGAGCAGATGTCCTTTAAAACTCGAAAGATGATTAGCTTCCCGTTTTCTTGATGATTTTGCAGCTCTTAAAACTAAATAAATTAAACCAAAGTGGTTGTTTGATGGCCCAGTGGCAGGAAAACACATTATAAGCACATTATTTTGGAGATGAGAACTAAACTATGTAATTATCTCTCCCTACGTCAGGAGAGTGCACAATCTCCATTAGAGAGGAAAACAAACTTATTAGTGCCAACTTAGCCAAGTGGAATGATGGAACGGTTATAGAATGACAGCAGGAAGCACTTAGATTGCTGCAGCATCATATTAAATGCACCTTATGGAGGTGTTTTTGTAAGATTTGCAGGAAATGAATTTAGAGCAGACACCTGCAATGCACACTCGTTTTCAAAAGGCCACGGGAGCCGTTTCTTTCTCAAAAACTTAAAAGGGAATTTCACTCATATGAACAATTATTTGTGTGTTTCTCACTGCAGTAACACAAAAGGAATACAATGATAAACTTGACTGATGCATGCTGTAAAAATAATCAATCTAATAAGTAATAATAATGTAATCACCGAGCACTGCCATGCACTCCACACCAGTCTTCCAGTCTCTGTAGTTCTTGTCGAAGTTGTAGAAGAGCCTCCTCATGCAGTCTTTCAGGGCAGCGTCTCTCTTCTCCTCATATCCTTGCAGCTCTGAGAACAGCCGCTCAGATTCCCTCGTCACATAACGCTTCCAGCCTTTCTTCGTAGACTTCACATCGTACTCCTTGGGAATATTCCTCTCCGAGATGCTGTCGGGCACCTCCATCTGGAACCGGTTTCGCCCAGTCCCCCAGTAGCACATGTTCTTACAGCCAACCCTCTTCTTCTGTTGGTCCAGGTAATCCTGCAGCTCTCGCTCACAGTCCTTGATGGAGGACAGAGCCTCGTCGAACTCTGGGTCAAAGCCGGCTTTGGGTGTGATGACGCCGGTGGTGCGGGCTTTGTTATGGTCAAAGGCTTTGTCCCAGCGTTTGAGTTCAGCAGAGAGATCGGGAAAGAGGCCGTCCTTTTCACCTTTCAGACTGACAACTTGATGGAGCAACTTGGATTGACAGTTGCCTGCGACTGGAGTGAGGACAGTGATGATCTCTTGCATCGTTTTGAAACCTTCCAGTGCTGAGAGGAAGTCTGTGATCTTGCGCTTGCTGTATGTGACCTCCTCATAGAGAACTGCTCTGCTGTCAGGGTGATCCTGGCCCTTCAGAGGAGTGCCGATGCTGTGGATTTTACTCAGAAGACGCTCCAAATCTGGGAGTTTCTTCAGCAGGTCTGAAACCTCAGTGGCTTGGGCCTGAGCTGCTATCAGCTCCTCCACAGCGTCCAGTCTGTCCTTGATGGATGACGGGTTACACAGAGGAGCACAGAGCCACTGCTTCAACAGCCTCTTGCCAAATGGGGTAGAGCAGGTGTCCAAGCGCTCCAGCAGCGTCCCTTCAGTTCCTCCTAAGCCGTTCTGAAAGATTTCCAAGTTTGCTAGAGTAACTCCGTCAAGGACCATCCGCTGACGAGTCCGGGAAAAGAAATTGTCACGTCCTGCAGCTTCCTCCAGCTCAACGTCAACAGGGACATATTCTTCAAAGTTGGCCAAAGAGAGCAGCTCGTGGTCAACCAGGCATTTCTTCAGATAGAAAATACATCCTCCCAGTGCTGACAGTCCCAGCTCATGGCCCTCTTTAGGAGTAAGGCCCAGTGAATCCGTGTTGGAGGTCATCTTTTTCAGAAGAGAAGGAAGAGCGTTTTTCCCTTTCCCCTGATCCTTGCCCGTGGTCTCTCTAAAGTAATCTTCTTCAGAGAGGTTTTTCAGAGTCTTTTGAGCATCCCAGAACTGTGTGCCAGCATTAAGCCCTTCCTGCAGAGCAGAGGACAGAGAGGCTTTAAATATTTTGCGTGTTTCAACAGATGGGTTCCCCTTTTCAAAGAGCACTTCAGCAGGGGCAAAGTGTGCTATCAGGGTGCGCAGACGTGAGCAGTGACGGTCGTCTGGGAACTGACCGACATGGAAATAACCCACAGAGGTATCTACAAAGCAGACTCCGTAAGTACGGCAGCGCCCCGAGCTTTCCTCTTCAGCCTTTTCCTTTAAACTCAGCAGGAACTTGCTCTGACTCTCGGACGGAGCCCCGTCCAACACGCTGTAGGTTTGGGTGCCACGTGTGATAATGCGGCACACTTCTCTATTCACCACGCGGTCAAACTTGGTGGGTCTAGCCATTTTCTTACAGCGCACTTCCATCATGTCTGGGGTCTCTGTCTGCTCCACACGAGCCACCTTGTAGCCTTTCTGAACCAGCACATCTGAGAAACGCGCAAAGCCGATCTCTGGGAAGCCTGAGTGTGCCCAGGTCCCCTTCATGAACGTTAGCGCCATCTCGTTGACTCCGATCACAGCATCCATGTGGTAGAGCTCATAAAACTTCCCCACCTTAAAGAAAAGGACTGTATCAAACATTTCAGATTTGAGCTGCCACCACCGACGCATACCAGGAGTGGTTCTGTTGAGAAAGTCTTCTGGCACATACAAGGAGGATGAATCATAGTCGTTCTCCGACTGTCGCCGCCTTCGGCTGTCTTTCCTCCTGCCACCCTGCAACCACTCCAGCTTCTCGTGGTCCCAAATGGTGGCGCTAACACCGGTGCCTGATCCGTTTGCTTGGCTATCAATGTTGTCGGGGGCAGAGAAGGCTGTCAGACGAGACTTAGTGTCGTCTGCGACAGCTGCTGGATAGCGTTTTGGTGCGTTAGACGGAGTAATTGGTATCTTAGATTTTGTTGGACCAGACTTTTCTTCAGGACGTTTGCGCTTTGCAGGCTTGATGGGGCTTTCTGCTTCGGAATCATTTGTGATCTCGCCGCCTCCGTCGTCTTCACTAGCCACCGTTGCTTCTTCCCCCTCGTCCTCGCTGCTGGACGCAGCCTGTTCTGGCTTGAATTCCTCGTCTGATCCACCACTATCTGAAGCTACAACTATGCGGCGGCGCTTGGCTTTATTTTCACTTCCTGTTGAAGCCCGGGATGACCGTAGACTGACTTTGGCCGACTTCCCTTTCTCATTGTTCGGTTCGTCCTGATCAGTGAGCTCTTCATCAGTCAACGTAGACTTGTCTAGCTGAAAATATAATAAAAATAGGACAGGTAAATAAATAACAAATGTAACCACCATTACTGAGCGTATCGGATATCACAAACACACTATGTGCATCTTTTACTAGTGATGAAAAACATTTTGACTAAAGTTATTCATTAAAAATGTTTCATCTCCTTTTATTTCCTATTATCAACATTGTAGTTAATTATAATCATGTTACCTCCATTTCTTCCTCTTCATCATCCTCCTCCTCTTCTTCATCATCATCATCAGAGGGATCCATACAGAGAGGGATCTTTAGTCTTTTATCTGGACTGTCGAACAAACCTTGATCAGCGAGCTCCATTGCATGGCGGAACACAGGTTTGCCGCTGAAGAACACCCCGCCTATTTTAGCATCCCTGCTGTCCGAGCCTGCAAAACAGTACAAAAGATAACTCCAGCAACTACAACAAATAATAACTCGTGAGATAATAGTCACAGCTTTAACCTTATAATTATTGGATATATACTGATTGCAATTTTCATGGCCAATTCCAATTCTTTTCCTCTCTAAAAACTATAATTGTTCAAAATACACAAACAATAGGGAAAACGTTTTTGAATGGAAAATGTTATTGTATGTTTAATGATATCAGAGAAGAACAAGAGAAACAAATATTCTATACTGAGTTTTTAGGTATATTATAGTCGACTCAACACTTAAACTAGGGACTAAAATTATCGATTTACAAGAATGTAAAGTGTGTGTACTATATTATGTTAACTTCATCGTCCAATGGGCCTGCTCCACGACCGTGACCGGCCCATCTCTAACAACTATCATTAAATAGGGCACTGGCGTGAGCTAACCTTGGTAATCTCGGACATATTTGGTGCTGACCCATCCTCTAGTAGCGGGTTCATCAAAGAAATGGACATGTATGCGTTGGGCCCGACCCTTGCCCCTCATCTGCTGTCCGGACAGTGGTTGGGGTACCACCATGCATGGCCACCAGGGGTGTCCCTCCAGTTTTGCCCACACAAGGGCGCCAGCACTAAATGTGCATGTGTTGTCGCTGTAGGAAGAGAAAAGAAAAAGCTTTTTGAGAACAAGTGCATCATTATTACAGCTATTTTACTGTTTCAAACTACTGCTGCTAGCTATTGGCATCCAAGCTTAGATTGTGTCAAATGCACATAATGTGCATTAACTTTTCAACTTTCTATGAAACTGGAACACATCTCCATATCTACAATTAAAGTTAAATACTTGGACTAAAATAAGATTAATATATCCATATAATGCATATGCCAAATTGCTTTTTACGTGCAGGTGCATATTTCTCTATGAGTTTTTTCTTAAATGTTACACAACATTGCACACGTTTAATTCCTGTTTCAAGCTGTCAAATGCCTAAATTTAAATAAGGTAAAATGCTGGCTAATGGGAAATGTGTTATATTGTTGACATTTCCTAAAAACTACACACACAATCTAATGTATTCAGAGGAGGGGAGATGCCATGAGTTCACCTAGCTAACACAAAAACCACCTCTGCATCAGCTCGGTTGCGGTTTTCAGTTCAAACTGTCGACTTTGCCGTATCTATGACAAGTGACATTCATTTGTACTGTATACTTCTCATTTATTCATTGTATACTCGTTTGTTAAAAAATAGACATTAGTTTTATTCGATTAAGGAACGAAGGAATGTTCACGTTTCAAGAGACCATATTCATTATGTGAACACGAAAAGTAGTTGTAGGAAAGTAACATATAGGTTCTTATTGGTCTGAGCAACAAAAAAAACTGCTTATTTTGTTATCAACCAAACGCATTTTTCGGGGACTTGCAGCAATCGTCGGTAGAGAGGGAAACAGTGCAAAACGTGTCTCCAGCAATTACACGGCTCCCAACATAATCCCGGCTAACTCACCTCTGTTTGGCTGTTGCGGCCTTGTCGCCAAACAGTTTGCTGAACCCTCCTTTAGTGGACTTGTCCTTACTCTTCACTTTTACTTTGTTGGTCTTGGCAGGTTGTTGTGGTGTTTGTTTGGCTTGCTCCTTTGGAGAGGAGCTGGACTTCAAAACGGAGGAAGGCAGGTCCGCCTCGGTGGGAGAGGGACTCGGCTTCGACTTGGAGACTGGCGGCGGAGACTTGGCAAAAAAATTGAAAAGGGAGCTTTGCTTCGCCATGTTTGCGAGTTAAAACTGTTTTCAGTGTGTTTTTAAGATAATCCTACCGATAGCCACGAGCACCCAGCTTCAGCGTCACAGGCAGCGCGGGCTCAAACCGTTCGCGGGATCACATGCGGATGTGATGAGAGTAGGCTCGAACCTCCTCCAATGATAACACAATATAGAAGTCACGTGGTGTCAATACCACTTCCTTTGGCGCGATGGGAACCTTTTTTCCCCCTCCCCTTACTTTTCTAAACGGTACATCCAACACAGAGTACACAAATACATAACTAGGGAGTATATAGATGTGTAGATTGTACATTTGTGCACATTTTTCATATCAACTGTAATTTCTGACATTGTTCAGAAATGGATGATTGCAATGTTTAATTACGTTAATATCATTTTTTGGGTAAAACGCACATTTTACTATCTTAACCATAAGAACCGACGGTGACAGACGTTGCATGATATGTAAATGTTCTGGAAAGTTCCTTACAGCTTTACCGTTGATTTTAACTCATGATGTCCCTAAACATCCTGGGTCATGGGCATGGATCCCATGGCATGGATAGGGCCAGGTCATGTGATTTTGTGTTCCCCAAAACATTTGACAGAACTAGCTAATCCATAGAGGGTTAAAAAAGCTTGTTTTAGTTGTTAAAGGTAAGATTTAAGCCATTTAAGAATTATAATGCTTGCATAACATGTCCTTTATTACATTTAACCTGTTGTGAAAACATTTGTTGATCAAGTTGATATGAAACAAATGAGATAAATATCGATGTGACATTAATATCACATATTTTAATGTCATCTTATTTGTATTCTCTGTAGTATGCACAAGAAGAAGCATTACAGTGTTCAGGAAGCACTGGCAGTCATCCTGGGAGATGATGGTGAGTTTGAAAGATGTGAAGGTAGCTCAGATGAAGACCCTGATTACACTCCCAGCACCAAAGAAATGGAGAATGATGAGTCAGTTGAATCATGTAATTCAGACTGAAGTGAATCAGGTGATGTAGATGAAGTACCTTAACCAAAAATGAACTCTGGTTAGCAAACTACAAGTGGCAAAGAAAAAAATAGTTTTCTGTGTACATTCGAAGGACAGAGTGTCACACCCCCAGACAATCTTCATACTCCCCTGGAGTACGTCAGGAAGTTCATCACAGCAGAAATGCTTGAGTTATTAAAGGAGCAAAGGAACGTGTACTGTTTACAAAAATCTGCAGATCACAGCAATGTTAACACCACTGTTAAGGAGCTGGAAATATTGATTGGCCTCTACCGGCTCATGGGTCTTTGCCAACTGCCAGGAAATCCTGCTTACTGGGTGCTATAATAATGTTATTCCATGCATGGCTGAGTATTCCTTAGCTATATATTTTGTAATCAATTTATTTAATCATTTAATACTCCAAGTATTCATTTAATATCTTGTTTTTGATCACCACACATCATTATTTTCATTCTATCTTTCTTAATTTAGGAACTAAAACAGTTTTTATATGGGTAAAAAATGACCCATGCAAGTGTGATAAAAAGGATTAAAAAAACATACTATAAAAATAATTACGTTATAAATAATTATTTTAGCAGTGATTTGGACCATACAATACATGTGGCTGGGGATGTGTGCATTTGGTCTTTTTAGCCCACATCTTTCCATTCCCCCTGTAATGTGCTTTTGGAGGTGGGGCGTGCCATCCATGCACCTCTTCATACAGACACAAGTATTGGGCCAACTACACATAACACCTACATGAGCTTTTATGACATCCCATTCCAAATTCTTAGGCATTAATATGAAGTTGGTCCCCCCTTTACAGCTATAACAGCTTCCACTCTTCTGGGAAGGCTTTCTACAAGATTTTGGAGTCTGTCAGTGGGAATCTTTGCCCATTCATCCAGAAGAGCATTAGTGAGGTCAGACACTGATGTTGGAAGAGAGGGCCTGGTTCTCATGGACCTTGCTTTGTGGGGCACAGTCATGCTGGAATAGAAAAGGGCCTTCCCCAAACTGTTTCCAAAACGTTCGAAGCATACAATTGTCCAAAATGATTTGGTAAGATGAAGCATGAAGAATCCTCTTCACTGGAATTAATGGCGCATTTCCACTACAGCACGGTTTAAGCGTGCCGTGCCTGTTTTTGGTTGCGTTTCCACTAGGCGTAGTTCCGGCTAGCGGGTACTTTTTCGCAGTTTTCTGGCTCTCCAAAATCGAGGTTCTTTACGGGCCAACAACCGGGCTGAGTATGCTAAACTAGTGAGAGAATCACTGGCAACTACAACAAATGAACATATTTTACCGTGATTTAATTGTAATACATGTTTCAAAATGATGCTGAAGTAACAACATACTGATACCGGTTAGTAAAAACCATGAATTAATGCTTTGACAAGTCTGCAGACAAGACGGCAGGCGAAAAACCTTTTAAAATGCGTGTTTTCTGAATGGAGATTGGCTAAGCTAACGTAGTATATGCTCAGACCGTCCACACTCACAACAACGGCCTATACAGACATAAATAACCCAGCATTCGCCATGATATAGACAGTCTGTGGTTTGCACTTGTTTAACTTTTGTCTAGTTTCTGAACAGATATGAGGAGCTGTGAGCTCTGAGTGCTAACAGCTAACGGCTGATGTTGTTTCGCATTGAAGATGACGTCACGGCTCCGCCTACACTGCGTTACTATAGTTACTACCCCAGTTCCTAAACTGTAATGGAAACGCAGCATAAAGTGAGCCTCGCCTACCAAGGCCTAACTATACCGTACTAAGACTAAACGTCTTTGGGTTCAAGAAAAGCGCTATAGGAATATGATTTATTATTAAGCCGTGCGAGGCCCCGCAGTGGAAATGCGCCATAAGGGGCCAAGGCCAACCCCAGAAAAACAACCCATAGGATTATCCCTCCTCCACCAAACTTTACAGTTGGCACAATGCAGTCAGGCAGGTAACGTTCT